ACATCAGACCACAACATCAAACCACATCATCAGACCACAACATCATGACACAACATCATCTTGACACAACATCAAACCACAACATCAGACCACAACATCAGACCACAACATCAGACCATAACATCAGACCACAACATCATCAGACCACAACATCAGACCACAACATCATCAGACCACAACATCAGAACACAACATCAGAACACAACATCATCATGACACAACATCAGACCACAACATCAGACCACAACATCATCATGACACAACATCATCATGACACAACATCAGACCACAACATCAGACCACAACATCAGACCACAACATCAGACCACAACATCAGACCACAACATCAGACCACAACATCAGACCACAACATCATCATGACACAACATCAGACCACAACATCAGACCACAACATCAGACCACAACATCAGACCACAACATCAGACCACAACATCAGACCACAACATCAGACCACAACATCAGACCACAACATCAGATCACAACATCAGACCACAACATCAGACAACAACATCAGACCTCAACATCAGACCACAACATCAGACCTCAACATCAGACCACAACATCAGAACACAACATCAGACCACAACATCAGACCATAACATCAGACCACAACATCAGACCACAACATCAGACCACAACATCAGACCACAACATCAGACCACATCATCAGACCATAACATCAGACCACAACATCAGACCATAACATCAGACCACAACATCAGACCACAACATCAGACCACATCATCAGACCATAACATCAGACCACAACATCAGACCACAACATCAGACCACAACATCAGACCATAACATCAGACCACATCATCAGACCATAACATCAGACCACAACCTCAGACCACAACATCAGACCACAACATCAGACCACAACATCAGACCACAACATCATCATGACACAACATCAGACCACAACATCAGACCACAACATCAGACCACAAGATCAGACCTCAACATCAGACCACAACATCAGACCTCAACATCAGACCACAACATCAGAACACAACATCAGACCACAACATCAGACCACAACATCAGACCATAACATCAGACCACAATATCAGACCACAACATCAGACCACAACATCAGAACACAACATCAGACCACAACATCAGACCACAACATCAGACCACAACATCAGACCACAACATCAGACCACAACATCATCATGACACAACATCAGACCACAACATCAGACCACAACATCAGACCACAACATCAGACCTCAACATCAGACCACAACATCAGACCTCAACATCAGACCACAACATCAGAACACAACATCAGACCACAACATCAGACCACAACATCAGACCACAACATCAGACCACAACATCAGACCACAACGTCAGACTATAACACCAGACCACAACATCAGACCACAACATCATCTTGACCCAACACCAGACCACAACACCAGACCACAACATCATCATGACACAACATCAGACCACAACATCAGACCACAACATCAGACCACAACATCAGACCACAACATCAGACCACAACATCAGACCACAACATCAGACCACAACATCATCATGACTCAACATCAGACCACAACATCAGACTATAACATCAGACCACAACATCAGACCACAACATCATCATGACACAACATCAGACCACAACATCAGACCATAACATCAGACCACAACATCAGACCACAACATCAGACCACAACATCAGACCATAACATCAGACCACAACATCAGACCACAACATCAGACCACAACATCAGACCACAACATCAGACCACAACATCAGACCACAACATCAGACCACAACATCAGACCACAACATCAGACCACAACATCAGACCACAACATCAGACCACAACATCAGACCACAACATCATCATGACACAACATCAGACCACAACATCAGACCATAACATCAGACCACAACATCAGACCACAACATCAGACCACAACATCAGACCACAACATCAGACCACAACATCAGACCACAACATCATCATGACACAACATCAGACCACAACATCAGACCATAACATCAGACCACAACATCAGACCACAACATCAGACTATAACATCAGACCACAACATCAGACCACAACATCAGACCACAACATCATCATGACACAACATCAGACCACAACATCAGACCATAACATCAGACCACAACATCAGACCACAACATCAGACCACAACATCAGACCACAACATCAGACCACAACATCAGACCACAACATCATCATGACACAACATCAGACCACAACATCAGACCATAACATCAGACCACAACATCAGACCACAACATCAGACCACAACATCAGACCTCAACATCAGACCACAACATCATCATGACACAACATCAGACCACAACATCAGACCATAACATCAGACCACAACATCAGACCACAACATCTGACCACAACATCAGAACACAACATCAGAACACAACATCAGACCACAACATCAGACCACAACATCAGACCTCAACATCAGACCACAACATCAGACCACAACATCAGACCACAACATCATCATGAAACAACATCATCATGACACAACATCAGACCACAACATCAGACCACAACACATCAGACCACAACATCAGACCACAACATCATCATGACACAACATCAGACCACAACATCATCATGACACAACATCAGACCACAACATCATCATGACACAACATCAGACCACAACATCAGACCACAACATCAGACCACAACATCAGACCACAACATCAGACCACAACATCAGACCACAACATCAGACCACAACATCAGACCACAACAGACCACAACATCAGACCACAACATCAGACCACAACATCAGACCACAACATCAGACCACAACACATCAGACCACAACATCAGACCACAACATCATCATGACACAACATCAGACCACAAAATCAGACCACAACATCAGACCACAACATCAGACCACAACATCAGACCACAACACATCAGACCACAACATCAGACCACAACATCATCATGACACAACATCATGACACAACATCAGACCACAACATCAGACCTCAACATCAGACCACAACATCAGACCACAACATCAGACCGCAACATCAGACCACAACATCAAACCACATCATCAGACCACAACATCAAACCACATCATCAGACCACAACATCAGACCACAACATCAGACCACAACATCAGACCACAACATCAGACCACAACATCAGACCACACAATCAGACCACAACATCAGACCACAACATCAGACCACAACATCAGACCACAACATCAGACCACATCATCAGACCATAACATCAGACCACAACATCAGACCTCAACATTAGACCACAACATCAGACCACAACATCAGAACACAACATCATCATTACCCAACATCAGACCACAACATCAGACCACAACATCATCAGACCACAACATCATCATGACACAACATCAGAACACAACATCATCAGACCACAACATCAGACCACAACATCAGACCACAACATCAGACCACAACATCAGACCACAACATCAGACCACAACATCAGACCACAACATCTGACCACAACATCAGACCAAAACATCATCTTGACCCAACACCAGACCACAAAATCATCATGATACATCAGACCACAAGATCAACAACATGAGTACACAACATAACACCTTGTCATTCGACCATACCACTAAACCATACCCCATACTCACAGCATTAAGCACTTCATTAGACGAGTACCCTAGATAGTCACTGGGATAATTGGAGTTTAAACATAAATAATTCACAGCCCTGTCGATTAAAGCTATCAGAACTCCCATAGATGGTCCGTCTAAACTGGGTGCAGGGAGATAAATGCTGCTGGCCTCACGCATGCGCTGTTGGCACACTCTAGTTTGTTGATTCAAACCGAGGGCCATAGATTCAACTCTACGGTCATCGTTGCACTTTTAGGACCATCTTTTTAACTGTGGCCATCGTTTCAGTTTTAGGGCCATCTTTTCAACTTAGGCCACCGTTGCACTTTTAGGGCCATCTTTTCAACTTAAGCCACCGTTGCACTTTTAGGACCATCTTTTCAATTTGAGCCATCGTTGCACTTTTAAGGCCCATCTTTTCAACTTAGTCCACCGTTGCACTTTTAGGACCATCTTTTCAACTCTAGGGCCATAGGGCCATAGTTTCAACTTTCGGGACCAGAGCAGTGGCCTATTGTGGATATAGCACTAAGACAGTGGTGTCTTGTAGCGCTGACATTGAGGTGTAACTGCGACACCATTCTGGACAATCTTCCCCCAGTGTCTTGTAAATGAAGCCAAATTAATCCACCTCCCTGCCGTCGTAACGACTTCCCCCCCCCCCCCCTTCCCCTAAGCTTGTCACCAGTCAACCAGACGGCAATGTTCCTTCTTCATTCCCTTCTGACCATACAGGCGCCATCTGACCATTTATTTAGGTCCTATCTGACCATCCAGGTGTAATCTGACAATCATTGTCCTACCTGATCACCCCTACCATCGAAATCCTATCTGCCATCTGGCGACCTATCGTAGCCAGTTTTTAATACAATCCATCATGTGATTGGCCAGCCGAATGCCGCACCACTGTAATCCCCCCAGCGATTGGCCAGAATACAAAGGAATCTGTCACCTGTTCTACGATAGGACGGAGTACACCGCGCACACGATGGCTCCACATGCCGGAGTCATCTGTTTATTTTTGATATCATACCTGCACAATCTTGTCTGATTACTTACCTGGGTACAGGTGTGTTTAGCTGCGAGCTGTGTTTATTGTGTACCTGTGGCTTACCTGTTGCAGGCGGGCTCAAGTGCTCACGCTGGGAGCACGGGTCGCGTGTTTATTGTACGGCTACAGGGCTCATTTGTCCATTGTTTTCATAACTGTTTGGTCGTGAGTTTCTTAGAGCGTGCCTTTGGTGCCATTCGATAGGTTCAATGGTTATCACACAAAAATAATCTTGATTGAACTATGGTCTAAGTTGAGGAATTTATTCTTGGGTTGGTGGGGCGTTGGTTGGTGGGGCGTTGGTTGATGGGGCGTTGGATGGTTGGGGCTTTGGTTGATGGGGGCGTTGGTTGGTGGGGCGTTGGTTGGTGGGGCGTTGGTTGGTGGGGCGTTGGTTGGTGGGGCGTTGGCTGATGGGGGCGTTGGTTGGTGGGGCGTTGGTTGGTGGGGCGTTGGTTGGTGGGGGCGTTGGTTGGTGGGGCGTTGGTTGGTGGGGCGTTGGTTGGTGGGGCGTTGGTTGGTGGGGCGTTGGTTGGTGGGGCGTTGGTTGATGGGGCGTTGGATGGTTGGGGCTTTGGTTGATGGGGGCGTTGGTTGGTGGGGCGTTGGTTGGTGGGGCGTTGGTTGGTGGGGCGTTGGTTGGTGGGGCGTTGGTTGGTGGGGCGTTGGTTGGTGGGGCGTTGGTTGGTGGGGCGTTGGTTGGTGGGGCGTTGGTTGGTGGGGCGTTGGTTGGTGGGGCGTTGGTTGGTGGGGCGTTGGTTGGTGGGGCGTTGGTTGGTGGGGCGTTGGTTGGTGGGGCGTTGGTTGGTGGGGCGTTGGTTGGTGGGGCGTTGGTTGGCGGGGCGTTGGTTGGCCGGGTGTTGGTTGGCGGGGCGTTGGTTGGCCGGGTGTTGGTTGGCGGGGCGTTGGTTGGTGGGGCGTTGGTTGGTGGGGCGTTGGTTGGTGGGGCGTTGGTTGGTGGGGCGTTGGTTGGTGGGGCGTTGGTTGGTGGGGCGTTGGTTGGTGGGGCGTTGGTTGGTGGGGCGTTGGTTGGTGGGGCGTTGGTTGGTGGGGCGTTGGTTGGTGGGGCTTTGGTTGGCGGGGCGTTGGTTGGCCGGGTGTTGGTTGGTGGGGCGTTGGTTGGTGGGGCGTTGGTTGGTGGGGCGTTGGTTGGTGGGGCTTTGGTTGGCGGGGCGTTGGTTGGCCGGGTGTTGGTTGGTGGGGCGTTGGTTGGCCGGGTGTTGGTTGATGGGCGTTGGTTGGTGGGGCGTTGGTTGGCGGGGCGTTGGTTGGCCGGGTGTTGGTTGGTGGGGCGTTGGTTGGCCGGGTGTTGGTTGATGGGCGTTGGTTGGTGGGGCGTTGGTTGATGGGGGCGTTGGCTGATGGGGGCGTTGGTTGATTGGGGCGTTGGTTGGTGGGGGCGTTGGTTGGTGGGGTGTTGGTTGGTGGGGCGTTGGTTGATGGGGGCGTTGGTTGGTGGGGGCGTTGGTTGGTGGGGTGTTGGTTGGTGGGGCGTTGGTTGATGGGCGTTGGTGGGGCGTTGGTTGATGAGTCGTTGGTTGGTGGGGCGTTGGTTGGTGGGCGTTGTTGGGGCGTTGGTTGATGGGGGCGTAGGTTGGTGGGGCGTTGGTTGATGGGGGCGTTGGTTGGTGGGGCGTTGGTTGATGGGGGCGTTGGTTGGTGGGGCGTTTGTTGGTTGTTGCGTTAGTTAGGAGGGGGGGCGTAGGTTGGTGGGGGCGTTGGTTGATGGGGCGTTGGTTGGTGGGGGCGTTGGTTGGTGGGGCGATGGTTGGCCGGGTGTTGGTTGGTGTATTTAGTTCCAGACGTACACTGAACCCTGGTTGGGGTGGAGGAAGGGGTGGTAGAGTCAGCTGGTTGGAATCTCTCAGCCACACCAACAGGTGAGCGGCCTCAGCTGGCGATGACAGCATGTAGACGAGCAGCTCCAGGACCAGCTGGTAGAAAAATGGAGGTTTTTGTTGGGTGGGTAAAACACATCAGCGGCTAATATCATGAAGATACAGCTGTAAATATCCATTTTATAATAGCTGTGCAATCGTTTTTTCCTGGTTTCACCAGTTATAACAACACTTGGTTTTTTTGTTCATGCCTTTATGGTGGTGTTGGTTTTAAAAGTTGTATATGTGAGTTGTTGTTTGGAAGTTGTGTATTTGGTTTGTGTGTTGTTGGCTGTTTGGGGTGGGGGGAGGGGTCTTCTGCTAGAGTACTCATGCACCAGCATGTCGTGTGATCAATGGCTCGCTAGTGGCGGGTCGATATGTTTGTTTTCTGGCTACCAACTGGCCCATTCATCAAAGGTGGGTGACGTCACGCTTCTTACCTGCGCATGTACACGTCACAACACCCGACCTGCCAGTGTTGACATGTCGTGTCTGACACGCGTGTCACGGTGACATGTCACTTGTATCCATGCCGTCTTATATTTGCTGCAATAGCAATGTAAACAGAAAGTGTTATTTCAACGCCAAGGGTAGACAAAGGTACAGAATATAGTCCAAGTTAAGACAGAACAGACAGACCCGACGGGTTCCGAACCTACCACTCCTCACGGCACCCGCGTCTTTCGTGCATAGGTTGTGATTGTGCTCTGCCATGAAAGCTTTATTTTTGTAGAGCTGATTGGCAGAATCGGTTACACGTCTGACTTGATGCATGGAAGGCGAGGCGATTCGGTGCCGTGAGGAGTGGTAGGTTCGGAACCCGTCGGGTCTGTCTGTTCTGTCTTAACTTGGACTATATTCTGTACCTTTGTCTACCCTTGGCGTTGAAATAACACTTTCTGTTTACATTGCTATTTCAGTCACAACGCCTGCTTCCACCCCTCACCATGTTTATATTTGCTGCAGCGGAGGTCATTTTCTAGTCATACATGCCGATCTCTCAACCTCCCAGTCTGATGATTCGTCGTATCATCGTCATATCTTCTTCGCTTCATCTTCACATAGTCTTCATATCAACACTCGTATCACTCCATTAAATCTTCATATATCTTCATACCATCTTCATACCATCTTCATATATCTTCATACCATCTTCATATCAACACTCGTATCAACTCCATAAAATCTTCATATATCTTCATACCATCTTCATATCATCTTCATATATCTTCATACCATCTTCATATCAACACTCGTATCAACTCCATAAAATCGTCATATATCTTCATACCATCTTCACATCAACCCTGATAGCATCTTCCTATCTGCATGCAGCCACCCCTACCCCTTGCAATGATCTGTCTCACCATTAAACAAGATGTTACTCCCCCCCCCCCATGTTACCCCCCCCCCCAAACAAAAACGTGATGCCGTTACCCCTACCCCCTACCCCTTGCAATGATCTGTCTCACCATTAAACAAGATGTTACTCCCCCCCCCCCATGTTACTCCCCCCTCCCCCCAACAAAAACTTGAGGCTGTCACCTCTCTAATTAATTCCCAGCCCAAATAGCCCGTGCTTAGAAAGTCTGAGATCTGTGGGGGGGGGGGAATTGTGGCCGAATCAAACAGGAATCCCTGGACACCGTCCGCAATATGGAACTAAAGTGGCGCTGGACACTGGGCGTGCATAAAAAATAGCGTTCAATTATGGAGAGCATTCAGCTGGGGAGTTGGGCTGTTTGAAACCCGTCTTCATAGTCTTGAGATGTAGGCCGGTGTGTTTAATTTCATAGCGTCTTAATTAATTAACTTCAAGATGCTTCTCGTCTTGGTTGGTATAGATGGGGATTGTTGTATCATTTAGTAAAATATTGGGGTTGTTGTATCATGTTGGGATATTGGGAATTGTTATATCATGTTGGGATATTGGGATTACTATATCATGTTGGGGTATATTGGGATTGTTATGTCATGTTGGGATATTGGGATTGTTATGTCATGTTGGGATATTGGGATTGTTATGTCATGTTGGGATATTGGGATTGTTATGTCATGTTGGGATATTGGGAATTGTTATATCATGTTGGGATATTGGGATTACTATATCATGTTGGGGTATATTGGGATTGTTATGTCATGTTGGGATATTGGGATTGTTATGTCATGTTGGGATAGATTGGGATTGTTATATCATGTTGGGATATTGGGATTACTATATCATGTTGGGGTATATTGGGATTGTTATGTCATGTTGGGATATTGGGATTGTTATGTCATGTTGGGATATTGGGATTGTTATGTCATGTTGGGATATTGGGATTGTTATGTCATGTTGGGATAGATTGAGATTGTTATGTCATGTTGGAATAGATTGGGATTGTTATGTCATGTTGGGATATTGAGATTGTTATGTCATGTTGGGATAGATTGAGATTGTTATGTCATGTTGGGATATTGGGATTGTTATGTCATGTTGGGATAGATTGGGATTGTTATGTCATGTTGGGATATTGGGATTGTTATGTCATGTTGGGATATTGGGATTGTTATGTCATGTTGGGATAGATTGGGATTGTTATGTCATGTTGGGATATTGGGATTGTTATGTCATGTTGGGATATTGGGATTGTTATGTCATGTTGGGATATTGGGATTGTTATGTCATGTTGGGATATTGGGATTGTTATGTCATGTTGGGATATTGGGATTGTTATGTCATGTTGGGATATTGGGATTGTTATGTCATGTTGGGATATTGGGATTGTTATGTCATGTTGGGATATTGGGATTGTTATGTCATGTTGGGATATTGGGATTGTTATGTCATGTTGGGATATTGGGATTGTTATGTCATGTTGGGATATTGGGATTGTTGTATCATGTTGGGATAGATTGGGATTGTTATGTCATGTTGGGATATTGGGATTGTTATGTCATGTTGGGATATTGGGATTGTTATGTCATGTTGGGATATTGGGATTGTTGTATCATGTTGGGATATTGGGATTGTTATGTCATGTTGGGATATTGGGATTGCTATATCATGTTGGGATAGATTGGGATTGTTATATCATGTTGGAATATATTTAGATTGCTATATCATGCGGATGGATTGCATCTGGTTAAAAGTTGATCTTGTTCATCTTGTTTGAATTTGATCATCGGGTTAAGTCGGCTTTCCCTACACAGTGACGTCGTTTGAACATTTTACAAGACACGTTCAGTTTGTTACTTTTTCCATCTAGATATAGATCTTAGTGCTGTGTCCAGCTTTCATTGAAAGACACGATATAGATGTAGATAGGGCTGGCGTGAAGTTGTAGACGTTGATGCCAGATAAATTGATGGAATCAATAAGCAGGTGATAATTCTGTGTAATCAGTCTCGCTGCATCGGCCGGCCATAAAAGGAGATGATCACAGATGGTGTTTTATTACATTTGGAAACACATTTTTATCTTGGTCAATTTGATGGGGGTGAGAGGGGGGGTGCTGAAATGTTTCCTTTAATTCTCTTATATATATATATATATATATATATATATATATATATATATATATATATATATATATATATATATATATATATATGTATATATATATATATATATGCAAATGTAGTAATAAATACGTTTATATTTGTATGAGAGAAATATGTTCGCGGCACCCATGTCCCGAATAGGATTATTGTGTTTCAAACACAGTTCATATCGATAATGAATAAAACTGGCCGACCTCTCACATTTAATGGTGGAGGTAGTAAAGTTTTCTCATGTGGCTGGTCAAGTTTTAGTGAAGTTTTCAGCGGTGACGTGGCCCGTTGAACCGTGACGTCACAGAGAGCTGCTCCCGCTGGACCATGACGTCACAGAGAGCTGTTCCCGCTGGACCATGACGTCACAGAGAGCTGCACCCAGACCACGCATGACCGGTCTTTCCCGGTGCATGTTTGTCATAAAAACAACCCAGAACATTAATACAATCATTAAAAACAATGAAGAACATGAATACAATAATTAAACTATTTCTTTGTCAACAAAGAGAGGTCAAAGCTCTTTTATTGCTTTCCTACTCATTTAAAGCTAGAATTATTCAAAGTTTTGATGCTAGTGGTAGCTCAGCATACTTTATTTCCCAATTGTTTATTATAATTATTATTAATTTGACATGCATGTGATAAAAACATAGAGTTGAGTATTGATGTCGTGAGTTGTGTTTGAATACTGACCATATTCAGAACTTTTGGTTCAGTAGTCGAGTCGCGTTTTGGGAACACGTTTTTTGATCCATGGTGACGTTTTCTTTTTTGTTGGCAAAATAAAGTAAAAAACTCCTTAGAAAATATTTCGACAATTAATTCTTGGAAATTATTCTAATTAGACGCGAGTTAGTCCAGCCGGTCACGTATAGCGTAGAGAAATATTTATGTCAGAAGGGGATGATTAACTTGTACGTTGTTCGGAAAGTTCACTTACTTTATGGGCCATAACTTTGGCACTTTCTTTTGGCTGTATAGAAGGATAACCCTGGGACCAAAGATGGGACTAAGATGGACAATGGAGTCGTAGACTTGGCTCTTCTTTGCCAACTTCGTTACTGGCACAGGCTGCTAATGTGGGCCAGGATACTAATGTGGCCCTGGCTACTAATGTGGCCCAGACTACTAATGTGGCCCAGACTACTAATGTGGCCCAGGCTACTAATGTGGCCCAGCCTACTAATGTGGCCCAGACAACTAATGTGGCCCAGGCTACTCATGTGGCCCAGGCTACTAATGTGGCACAGGCTACTAATGTGGCCCAGGCTACTAATGTGGCCCAGACTACTCATGTGGCCCAGGCTACTAATGTGGCCCAGGCTACTAATGTGGCCCAGGCTACTAATGTGGCCCAGGCTACTAATGTGGCCCAGGCTACTAATGTGGCACAGGCTACTAATGTGGCCCAGGCTACTCATGTGGCCCAGGCTAATCATGTGGCCCAGACTACTAATGTGGCCCAGACTACTAATGTGGGCAAGGCTACTCATGTGGCCCAGACTATTAATGTGGCCCAGGCTACTAATGTGGCCCAGGCTACTCATGTGGCCCAGGCTACTCATGTGGCCACGGGCCCAGGCTACTAATGTGGCCCAGACTACTAATGTGGCCCAGGCTACTCATGTGGCCCAAGCTACTGATGTGGCCCAGACTACTAATGTGGCCCAGCTACTAATGTGGCCCAGGCTACTCATGTGGCCCAGGCTACTAATGTGGCACAGGCTACTAATGTGGCCCAGGCTACTAATGTGGCCCAGACTACTCATGTGGCCCAGGCTACTAATGTGGCCCAGGCTACTAATGTGGCCCAGGCTACTAATGTGGCCCAGGCTACTAATGTGGCACAGGCTACTAATGTGGCCCAGGCTACTCATGTGGCCCAGGCTAATCATGTGGCCCAGACTACTAATGTGGCCCAGACTACTAATGTGGGCAAGGCTACTCATGTGGCCCAGACTATTAATGTGGCCCAGGCTACTAATGTGGCCCAGGCTACTCATGTGGCCCAGGCTACTCATGTGGCCACGGGCCCAGGCTACTAATGTGGCCCAGACTACTAATGTGGCCCAGGCTACTCATGTGGCCCAAGCTACTGATGTGGCCCAGACTACTAATGTGGCCCAGGCTACTAATGTGGCCCAGACTACTAATGTGGCCCAGGCTACTAATGTGGCCCAGGCTACTCATGTGGCCCAGGCTACCAATGTGGCCCAGGCTACTCATGTGGCCCAGGCTACCAATGTGGCCCAGACTACTCATGTGGCCCAGGCTACTCATGTGGCCACGGGCCCAGGCTACTAATGTGGCCCAGACTACTAATGTGGCCCAGGCTACTCATGTGGCCCAAGCTACTGATGTGGCCCAGACTACTAATGTGGCCCAGGCTACTAATGTGGCCCAGACTACTAATGTGGCCCAGGCTACTAATGTGGCCCA